GGTGGGGGGGGGGGAGTATGGGAGGAGGAATGGAGAGAAAAATAGAGGGAGGACATAATCACCTGGGTATACTCGCTCCATTCGTATGTGCCGCCAACGCGAGCAGTCTCGAACGCCGTGGAGTTGGCCGACGAAGCCGAGCCTGGGGCCCGCTCCGGTCGGCAGGTATCATCCGAGATGAGCAAGGTCTCGTTGTTCGGCTTTGCCATCTCAGTGATGGCGATCGATAGGCAGACCCGAATCGTGTACGCGCAGAAGAGCGAGAAGAAGGTCATTATAACGCAGATCCATCGCTGGGAAATACCGGAGCCTGTAACAGCGGAGTAACAGTAATTTTATGCTTATTTTTATGTCCGAAGACTCGGAGAAGAGAATAGGATCAAGGTTAGAGGGTTGGGGGAGGGACGCGAGATGTTGATGCTCCGAGATGAAATAACGAGGGCGAATAGATGCGACTTGTAAGAGGTAAACGGCCCGTCCAATGATTGTGAATAATTTCGATTGAATATGAGTGCGATCGTTACGGGTAATGGCGTGCCCGCGGAGAATTACGTAATAATCATCTTTGCGTTATCTTGCTTCAGTTTCAATAATGTTTTTAATTACATTGTTGGCAGAGGGATTTTGTAAGTTATGGGACGAGGCTTCGACGTGCGACACTACACGACTGGCCGTGAAACGTCACTTTTTTCTTTCCTTTTCTTTTTTTGTTTTTTCTTTTTTTTTTTTGCACGCTTTTCGCCTCCTTTCGCATCCTTTACATTATAAAATCGTTATTAAGAGTACGAACTACTTTCACATAATGTGTAAAACAATGATGACTAATGCAGTTAAGAATGCTTTGATAGTGAAGCTGCAGTAGAACGCGGAAAATTACAAAGATATTACACGCGAAGATAACAACAAAATATTCAAAGCCAAATATTGACTCGAGCACTTGTATAAAAATATCGTTGCCACAAGTCTTGAAATAATATTTAACGAAAAATAAATGCTCGCCTTCTGTACTAGATAGTTGTAACAAAATGTATCAATAAAATTTATTACAAGGAGCAGTAATTTATATATATGTGTGTGCGGGCGTGTGCGTGCGTGCGTACGTATAGAGAGAGAAAGAGAGAGAATTTATGCTTTCGCAAATGTAGTATGTACTTACAGCATTCTTTCCATTGACTTGACATGTTGAGTTTTTTCGTTCAAGCTGACCTATCGAAACGGGTACAATCGCGTTGCGACTCTTGAGGGACAAACGCTTTTGTCAACCGATCAATTATTGCCAACAATAAACAATAATACAGCACAGTATGTATCGTAATAATACAGAGATTCACGCAATAAGCGTGCTTTGCGTGTCCGGTGAGTCTCCCATAATTGTCGGTTTATTTCGGCAAAAATTCGGTAATTAATCGCTATAACCTTTTCTCCGTTGAAGCTGACTAAGGCCCCGTGCGCCCAAAATTGTATGAAAACGATACTTGTTACACTAGTTGTGGCTAAGACCCTTGGGGTACATTCGAGAGGCACAATCGAACAAACATTGCCGATGTTCTTGTCACATCTTGAGAAAAATTTTACTTTTTCTCATCGCGAGCGCATTCACGATGTTTTGCCGCGCGCATGGCTGCAGACGAAGTCACGTCGCGACGTTTAAAGCCCAAGTATAAATGTGGGTATATAAAATATTTCAAAACGAGCTTGAACTGGCTCCCTCCCCCCGCTTTTCTCACCACCCTCCCTCCCTCCCCACACCGCTCCAACAGTCCATCCCTCTTGTTCGTCCGTTCTTTCCGCTGTATATTACACTTTAGAATACTCGCATCTCTTTCCGTCTATCTCTATCCACGTTTCTCTTTATCTTTTTCTGTTTCCCACTCTTTCGTTACCCCCACTATTATACCTTCCTCCCATTCTATCGCTCTCTCTCTCTCTCTCTCTCTCTCTCTCTCTTTCTCTCTCTCTCTCTCCCTAGCAGATTCTGTCCGTCATTCATCCGTTTATTCTTTAGCAACTTGCCTTTTGATAAAAGCGTAAAATCCGAAATCTATTTTTATAATTTATATTTCACGACATTCTTCATTCATTACCTCTGCTATTTACTTGCGATACATATACCTGCATGCCTACATGCATAAGTGCATACGTGCATACACACACGCACACGCACACGCGCACGTGCGTTCGAGCTTGAGCGCAACTTTGCCTGTGTGTGCGTGAGAGCGTGCGCATGGGCCTACGCACGAACGTACGCGTGCCCGCGTGTACGTATATACATATATATATATATATATATATATATATATATATATAAATTGGGCAATATTGTTTTTAAATATCACTTTTTTATCTTTAAAAAATATAGTTTCGGAATTATTATTATTAATATCGGTTGGAATCGTATTTCTTTTCTTCAACATAATTTCAACAATAAAATTAATTATTCACGATAAAAGTGTTGTTGATATAAATATTTCATACAATTGTACCATATAATATATATATATATATATCATCAAATGCATATAAACGTATGTAGGTTATATAAGCGTATGTAATAAAATTATTTTGCAATTAATTACATTGTTCTTTCATAATCACTGACATACAAGTAAATGTAAATATTTTTAGTAAGTTAAAATGAAACTCGTTAAAAATTACATTTCTTATCTGCTTATTTTTTCGAAAACTAATTTATTTGAATTAGTTCAATTGCACAACTATGATAATCAAATATCTGAAAAAGAAAGAAGATCCAGTATAATATTAATTAATTATTCAATTTTATTAGCCAAACTAATTTCATCAATTCAAATTATTTATAATATAAATTTTATGTTTTATATATAAAATTCTGGCTCCACTATTCTACATTCATAGTAATTAAAATTTTTACTTTTAAAAAGTAAAGTATTAATTCATAATGTATTTAATTTCTACATACTTATAAGTTGTAAATGTTAATTAAATATGGTAGTAATATTCATAACTAATTGAATTTAAATAAACATGTGAAGGGACAGTGAGTGCTCAATTTAATATAATGTTAATTATTTCAACAAAAGTCATTTACATAATAACAATATTTGCCTCAAATTCGAGTGCACTGACATTTCAAGAAGGCATTGATTGCGCTTCTTACCGACCACGTTACATCAATCTTTCTCTATTACAACAAATTTTATCCATTTCACAGAATACTTCACTGTGCATCATTATTAGACCAATTTATAGATTTGCAATTTTTGATCATAATTATGTGATATATCATCATAATAATGAATGTTGATAAATGTATTACGTATACATAGAAACGTGCGTGTAGATGAGACCGTATTTATTCAAATCTGCTGACTTACAACACTAAATCTTCTTCTTATTTTTTAGATTTTTTATGACCTGACACCTTTCATATATGCTTTTAGAATTGAATACATTTTTAGAATTTGCTTTTAAACCAAAACAAGTTTTCTTTTTTTTTTCGATCCATTATCTCCTCGCAGTCTTTTCCTTCATAGTAATTATGAGAATTAGATGAAAGTTTTGAATAACGATGTGCAATTTATTTTATCGGTTAATTAAATATATGATTTGTTAATTTGAGGGAAGCAAAATAGACATATTGCCTATTTCATAACATATATTTTTATTCAAATGAGAGTATTAAAATTATTGATCAAGTTCTCGGTGAAATTGCAAATTTAATGTAACACCACATTAATATTCTAAAAATCGGCAGCTTTGAGTTGCAATGTAAATTATTGTCAAAATATCGTCAGTCGAGTTTACTTGAATCGTGCTAAGTAATACCCCCCGTATTTACTAAATAATTTGAAAAGTGACTATAGGCTTAAAAAAAGTATCCGAAAAATTGCAGAGTTTCCCATGTACGATGACCCATCAACAACAGTCTGACTCATATCGTCTGATGCAATAAAAATTGAACCGAGCAAACAACGCTAATCTACCATTGACAACGTTACAGTGCCAATGGAAGATAAAACTTTTAATATTCAAACATTATGGGAGAAAAATTAAAGCTTTCCTTTATATGCACAAATTGTGCCCTTAAAATGACATTCTTGCTTCATCAAATATTGTAATTTTCTCCATTATCTATGGCATTCATCGATCCACCGTCGATAACAACGTAAACATTTATGAATAATCGTAACGTCGGGTGTAACTTAACTGTCCTGTTAATTAATTAACGTTTCTTATACTTTACTATCTCAGATACGTTTTAAAATTTCAACTCCGAGGCACATAACAAATTTTTTCTATTTACTTGTAATCATAAATTACATTTATTTTTACAGCAATTTCAAGCAAACACTTGTATTAATCGTTAAATTCTATGTCTACGAGTAAGATTTTTATTTTATATAAGATATTTTGACATACTTAATATTTTCAATAATAATTCTTAAGACATTTTCATATTAATAAGAGTACAATATAACAAGTAACAGCCTTTCCAATCTTACTTTTCCAAGTTAACCATCTCAGATTTCTTAAAAAAGTATTATCTTTCCTTCTTTTTACAAAACTAATTTTACTATAATATTAAGCAGTGGTATTTATCATTGAACATCAAATTATTATTAATAAATGAATCTTTCATGATTACGATTCTTTTTTTTTTTCTTTCTTTTTTTTTTTTTTTTTTTTTTTTTTTTTTTTTTTTTTTTTGATTCATAAACACTAAATACGATTTCAAACTCTAATGGTTAATTGTGTTTTCCGTTTTGTATGACATTTCACTCACTTTTAAACATAAAATTTTTTACTTTGAAACTATTAATTCTTGTACCGCCAAGTTACTTTAAAATAAATACGTTAAATGTATGCAACTGATAGTGTTTCACATACATATTCCTTGGATATACTTACACTCTCGATATAAGAAAAAAGTAAGATTACGATATTTAGTTCCAAGCTACAGAAAATTTATATCATGATTTGTAACAACAAGATGTAATATTTAAAAGCTGAACATTTATTCTTCAATTATTCCTTCTTGAATATTACTTAAAATATATAAATTTTTATTGGTAAAATATTGATTCGTTATGGTTGCCTTAATTGAATGGAATGAATAATTTAGATAATATTATTTATATAATAATAAGTAAATAATATAGTTTGTAACAAATGCTGCATAGAAGATATTCAACCTCAAAGTGCATTAGGTGACATTAATTTTTAAATCTACTGATAATATCAATGGTAATGAGAAATTTCAAAGTTCTTTATGTATCTTTACCTGATAATATACAATTGTTATCTAATTATATCATCGTAATATGGAAATGAATGTCAACATGCAATTTCAAAACAATTTTCTTCGTAATAAAAAAAAAAGAAGGTTTGCTTCGTAAGCCATTGTAGCTGCAATCATTTAATAAACTACCATTTACTATAATAAATATTCGTAAATATTCTTCACGAATTTGAAATATCGAATCTTTAAAATTACATTGCTAAATTATCTTATTAGTTGTATTGAATGAATGTAATACTTAATAAAATATGGACTTTTTAAAATACGAAATTAAAATTAAAATGTAACATGATAAGCTTATCGATATACCGACATACAATATTTAATCTATTACGGAACTGTTTATTTTTACTTAATTTGTGTAGTCGTAGTTTTTTTTTTTTTTTTTTTTTTGGGATTTTTACTATTTGATTTAATATGCTTTTGAACCCGAAAATTATTATAAAAATTAGAAACATTATTATTTACTTATGAAGAAATAATGCTTTCTTTTATACAAATATATTTGTGTTGTATAGACGATCTTTGGTTTTGTAATTAAATTTATTTCAAAAACAATGTTAAAAAAAAATATAAAAATGAATATAATTTATTCTATTTCATCTTCAGATCACATAAAATCTGCATTTTAATAAAGAAATAATTCAAAAGTTTGTCGGTACATAATTGCATTCGATTAAATAAAGTAACTGTATTAGTTTTTGAATATTGAGTTTGTATGTGAAGATAGATAGATTAGTAGAAAACAAAAACAAAAAATTAAAACTCCGAACTAAGGCTGTAGTTAAGCGACACTTAAACTATAATTTAGAACAATAACTTTACTTTTTCTCTCTTCCCTAACTTAAATATTCTATCTTAACACCTCCACCCTTTGCCACTTTATCTCCCCATCGTTATAATATAAAATATAATTATGTAAGCAACTAACTGTGAACGAGGAATAATAATGTTATTGTATGGTATAATAGACGAGAGCATCGTTAAAAAACAAATTATAGAATTTTTAAAGATTTGTTTCAAACGTTTTTTTATTAAGATTCTGGAAGAAAAATGATAATTTTATTTTATTACGTCTGAGCATTGCTAATGATATAATCACATATGAATTTTCCAAGAATTTTCATAAAATTCTTAAAAACGCAGCAGGAGGA